ACAAGAATTACAACTGACTTCAGCCACAGACTTAGATGAAATCAACTGAAATAAAAGAAGACATTAAATCTCTCAAGATCTCAGCAGAAGATTATTAATCATCTCCACAAACAGCATCACGAACTTCACACATTACTAACCAGTTAGAATTTGTTTATCATGCGTCTAAAAATTTCTTATTAAGAATTAACAGAGATTTAGATGTTAATGTTTATTGAAAATAACACAATTTGGAGTCACCATTGTGGAGATACGCGTATGCTTTAGTTGGGCTCTTGACCCTTGATTTTTTAATAATAGATTTACACTGGTTGCTGTAACTGTGTTAATGAAACACATTGGTTAAAGTAAGAAAAACCAAGAAAAAATGGGTTTAGATTACATTGGCTGCTTTTTAGATAATGACATAGTTGTCATGTTGTAGCCAGGTTTACTGATGTCATCAGTGGTAATTAGTATTGGGTCGTTCTTGAACGATTCGTTCGGGTTTTTCAAGTCAATCGTTCATCACGTGACAGACCCATAAGTTTACCCTATGCAGTGGTGTTAGATCCAACATGAATGTGTAAGATAATGAAAAGCTGGGTGATGCTGTACCTCTGAAAATGCAAACTGGTCTTTTGCATGGTGCTTTTATTATTATTATTAGTAGTAGTAGTATTAGTATTAGTATTAGTATTAGTATTATACTTATACTAATACCAACCCCTCAGAGGACCTCAGATGATGCCAACCCTGAAACAACTTACAGAACTACCACATTTTGCTATATGTTTGATTGCATCATATAATAATTGTTGTTAATAGTGTTCATCGTCTGTTTGATTACGTCTTTAATTGATTTTTCCGTACATTTCTGCCATATGTACATTAACTGACAGTCACCACTGATAAGCTACTACTAAATATTGTAGAAACTTAATTTGCTGTAAAGTTGCTTTGCAACGATTTGTATCGTGAAAAGCGCTATACAAATAAACTTGAATTGAATTTTCCTGAAGACGTCTGAGCGTGGTGACTCTTGATCAGAGGTGTAAAGTCCAGGGGTCATAAAGTAAAAGTCCTGCCATATGTTTATTCCACCCATGAACTCAGCAGCTGATTTCACCAGCTTTGTGCAGCAGTCAAGTTACATATGGATTCAGCTTTTCTAATTTAGTGGACATTGATCAGCTTTGTATTGGTCTACATATTACTTTAGATGTATAAGATGGTTTGGAAATTAAATGTGAGGGTAAGAGTAGGTGTGATGCACAATTGTTTGATTTCACAGATTTTTTTTCTTCATTTCTTAATACTTCTTTGCAGAGGACTGTTGTGTTGGGACACACACACACACACACACACACACACAAATATTCACACAAAACCAACCTTGAAAATGGAGTTTAAATTCTTCTTTGCTGTAGATGATTCTGATTCTTTAGGTTTTTGACTGTCAATCAAATATTGCAAAACACTGTTTTGACAAATATTGCATATTTTTGTAAATATGTATTTTTGCATTTATTACACATCAGTAAATTAATAAATAACATATATTTATTATAATGTAAGCTGAACAACACCTCAGATCAGCAGATGATTCTCCCGAGCTGAATTGAATTGGCCGATACATTGACGCGTCACTCTTCATGGACACACAGCTGGGTTCAGGAGATTCATTCTCACACAGACTGAAACACAACAGCAATACAAACTGTTTCTGAAAATCTCACACTGCTCTGACAGAAACACCTTTACTTTTTCAACCTCCCTTTAATTAATTATTTGTCAGGTAATTCTGAATTACAGAATGAAAAGATTAAAGTGTTGTCTTTCTGTAAATAAAAGGAATCTGCCCCATGTGCACTTTTCATTCATTCAGTATAGAATACAATGCACAAATATACACATAGATACAGACAGACAGAAACATCCAGCAACAGAGGTGTAAAGTCCAGGGGTCAGAAAGTAAAAGTTCTGCCATCTGTTTATTCCACCCATGAACTCAGCAGCTGATTTCACCAGAGGAGGAACCAAGTCTTTCCTTTCTAGCCACAAGCAAGTCTAGAGTCAAATCCCAAGTCCTCAAAGAGTTAAAGTTAATGAGATAATTAAGTGACTAATTAAATGATCATTGTGCATTAGTGAAGAACCCCTGCTGTTATTGAGAATTCCAGAGGATCAGGCGTTGATGTTTTATTGGTTAAAATGATGCCACCATCATGGAGATCAGTGTTTGCTTTGGCTTTAGTTGGGCTCGTGACTTAGTTCCTTTTCTGGTGAAAACAGCTGTCCGAGTTCATGGGTGGAATAAACATATGGCAGGACTTTTAATTTCTGACTCCTGGACTTTACACATCTGGGGACACCTGGTGATAATGTATATAATACACCACACCTGCTGTATATGTATATATGACACTCATAATATCTCACCTGGGCTCAACAGAAGAGTCGTCTTCTCCGCAGAGATCTGAAAGATTTTCCCTCACAGACGCATTGCTGTGTTCAGGTAAATCTGATTCACCCCCCTGAATCAAACTATAAATGACAATGCTGTTGTAGTATGCATTTATTGTTTCTGAACATTAAATGTGTAAAACATTAAAGTTTTCTCACCGCTTGACTGTCTTTATGTTTATTTCAGGTTCTTCAGAGAGATTCATTCTGAAGGCTGTGGTTTCATCTAAAATCAGATCCAGATGTTTGTCCACAGAGTGAGTTATGAATCATCTCAGCATTTAATTTTCTCAAATCCTCCTCTGACTCAAAACACTTAGTCCACAGTAATGGCCTGCACACATAAAAAACAATTTTATCCTGAAATTATTTACACAGAATCAAAATGTTCACAAACAGCATAACAACTTCAGACAAGCACTGTGTTAAATGAAAGTAAAGGTGGAATCTGATGATTTACAGACTTTGTGTTTTTATCTCTTTATGTTGTTTACAGTTGTTGTTGTTTTTTTTTTGCTAACAAGCGTTGTTCAATACTGAAGCCACATTTTCTAAACTTTTCACACAGTCTGCATTACCAACATGAATCTTGGCCAAACAGTTAATCTCACTTCCAAAACTCACTCAGACCAACACAACACTTAATGTATGTCTCAGAGTAAGCTTGTTCCACCATAACACCGGCCACAATTCCCATTCAGAAAACAGACATTTCATTCATAACTCACTGACCTTAAAACCACAAACAATATGGAGCATTGCATAAATTATGAACTTTTACTCTATCTTTGAAGTTTGAATTATTATTCACAAGTATTTCATGCAGTGAGAATAACATCTTTTTATTTTACTGACTGTATTACAGCACAAGGAATGAATGAGAAAAACAGCATTTTTTCCCTATATATTTACATACCAAAATATATAGGGGAAACAAAGCTCAGATTACTCAAGCACTAAAACAAACAAAAAAAAAGCAATAAAAACAACAACAAAACATCATAATTTACCAAATTTACTTGTGAAAATAAAAATAAAATAAATTAAAAGTGAACTGGAGACTGTGTGTGTGTGTGTGTGTGTGTGTGTGTCATCCCTGTGATAGACTCTCCATCTGTCCAGGGGTTTTTCCTGCCTATGACCCAGGAAAGCCTCCAGCCTCTCCATGACCCTACATAGCACAAGTCCTTTGGAAAATGTATGAAAGAGATGGTTGGATGGATGTACTGTACTGCGAGGGTCCTAGTCCTCCCTCTCTCTGCCACTCTTTCCCCCTCCCACCAATGTGTCTTCCTTGAACTATGTTTCCAAATAAAATCATTCTGAAGCCATTCTGATTTATCAAAAAATATCTGAAAAAGAATGTAAGAATGTCTAAAAATAGGACACCTGGGTTGGCTTTCAGCTGAAATTACAGTTAATTGTGTATGGAATAATTATTATTTAATTTCATAGTAAATATACTGCTAAAATTTTATATTTCAATATAATTCCTGCATAAATGGACAGAATTTGCCATCATTTTGATTTCAATGTGCTTTTATCAGTTTTTAAAGCGGTGTGTTAGCATTTGAAATATGTGCTGCAAACATATAGTGTTTTGCAGGTGGTGAAGTATGAATGACAAAAGTGCTCATGGATTTTGGAAAATGTGGTCAGTGAATGCATTTTGTGTGAAAGCGGTGAAAAATGATTCACAGTTTGGTCCGCATTGACTTCTGTTTCGCTGAATGTGTGAAGAGTTTTGAAAATGTGGCTTCAGTATTGAACAATGCTTGTTAGCAATTGACAAAAAAAACTGTAAACATATTGGATGCAGCTTATAGTTGTACTTCACTTTACACCAGTCTGGACTGATTCTGACTATCCAAAATGACACTGAAATAGTGATACTCACTTGTGTTCTTCTCTCGTAATGTTGCTTACTTCCTCATATGACAAAATGGATCCATAGTTTCACTTTCATGTGTCACCTGACAAGGAGGAGCTTAAGTTTTCAAAAAAACCTTTCAAAAACCTTTCAGGAAAGGTCCATGAGCTGGGGACTCACCCACGATGCTGTCGGCACAGACACTATGACAGCTGTTAAACTGAATATATAAAGGCAGCACTCTATAACATATCAAATTTATGACTCTCTGTCAACTTCCTCACCACTTTCTCCCCCTACAGGATTTAAATGGAATATTTTAACAGTATCTAGAATGTAATTATTTTCTTTAGTAATGTGTCTAAAATTGTCTTATTAAGAATTAACAGAGATTTAGATGTTAATGTTTATCGAAAATAACAAAATTTGAAGTCACCGTTGTGGAGATAAGTGTTTGCTTTAGTTGGGCTCTTGACCCTTGACTTTTTAACATTAGTGTTACTCTGGTTGCTGTAACTGTGTATATGAAACACATTGGTTAAAGTAAGAAAACCTAAGAGAAAATGGGTTTCGATTTTATTGGCTGTCTTTTTGATAATGGCATTGTTGTCATGTTGTAGCCAGGTTTACTGATGTCATCAGTGGTAATGAATAATATAGTTTGTTATTGATCACAACCGCATTTTAATGAAATAATATGAAGAGCTTTAAAAACACTTTGCACACCAGTATAGAACATCTGTATTGTTTAGACACGCAGACATCAAGAATCAGCATATGAATCTCATCAATGGTGACGATCATCAGACAG